GAGTAGCCCAAGATCGATCTGAGTGGTGTGCATTTGGAGAGGCCTATGTCCAGCAGTGGACTATGATGGGCTGTTGATAACAAAATATTACAAATGTCCCATTTGCAAAAGTGATGACCATGGAGTGTTCTATTGCAAGCAATTTCTTGATATGTCTGCACTATCAAAACGGAAAACTATAACAAAATACAATATTTGTCAAAATTGCTTATATAGTCATTACGGAAAAGCCTGTATATCAGATAAAAAATGTCGTGAATGTAACCGGTTAAACGGCGGTTATCATACATCATCTAAGCCTGATACCAAGAGATCATTGCTTTCCGATATATCAAAGCTGTTTGACCCATTAGGTTGGTTATCACCCGTATCAACTAAGTTAAAAGTAATATTTCAAAATGTTTGGTTTGCTGATATAAAATGGGATGACAATTTACCGGAAGAAATTTTAACAGAATGGATAATTATCAAAGAGGACATAATTAAAAACATAAATAATCTAAAAATAGAACGATGGATAGGTACAAAGCAAGGTGATAGTATCGAGTTGCATGGTTTTTGTGACGCTTCACTGAAGGCATACGCGTGCGTTATATATTGCAAAGTTAAAAGATCGGAAAGTACAAACATATCATTATTTGTAGCAAAAGCAAGATTAGTACCTTCTAAGTCAAATGTTTCGTTACCTAAACTCGAACTAAGCGGAGCTTTTCTACTGTCAAAATTAATGTTAAAGGTCAAGTAATGTCTTAGCAACTACGATATCAAAGTTTATGGCTGGTCAGACTCTATGATTGTTTTGGGTTGACTGAGTGGAGACCCAGCAAGATGGAATTTATTTATATCAAACAGAGTAAAAGAAATAAGCAGCGTAATGCCTCCAGAATGCTGGCGTTACGTAAAGTCGGACGAAAACCCCGCGGACTGTGCCAGTCGTGGCTTATATGTTTCGCAATTAACAACTCATCCTTTATGGTGGAAAGGACCATCCTGGCTTCAAAGTTTCATCGAGCAAGACAAACAGCTAACTTACTCTACAGATTTAGAAACAAAAGACACCAAACAAGTGAATGTTCTGACGAATTTAGAAAATAATATCATAGAAAAATTATTAACTAAATACAGCTCATTTATGAAGGTCGTTAGAATCACGGCATGGTTATTAAGATTATCATCGAGACAACGTATTAAGCAAAATTATCTAACGCTATCTGAATTGACTCGTGCAAAAAATAAAATTATTAGACATGTTCAATATGTACAATTATCAAAAGAAATAGATTGTATCAAGGAAGGTAGCAAGATGCCATCTAATATCAAAATATATCTATTAAACCCATTTCTAGACAAGGATGATATTCTTCGAGTTGGAGGTCGACTGAGGAATGCTGCAATCAGCCCAGAACGCAAACACCCTATCATCATTCCGAACAGCTGCAGACTATCAGAGCTTCTCATCGACCAGGCTCATAAACTCTCCTTCCACGGTGGCGCTCGCTTGACGTCAGCTTTCTTGCGACACAAATACTGGATCCTAGGAGGGAACAGGGCTGTAAAAAAGAAATTGTGTCTTTGTGTTACATGCCGCCGCCACAAACCTATCATGAATAATCAGTTAATGGGTGACTTACCTGCTTCTCGAACAATACCATCTGGTGTTGGGGTCGACTTAACTGGATTCGTGGATGTAAAATCTAGCAAGGGAGGAGGAATCAAAAGTTCGAAAGGCTATATCGTAGTTTTTGTATGCATGGTCACCAAGGCTGTGCATCTAGAACTAGTGTCAGACTTAACTTCTTCAGCATTTTTATCAGCTCTTCGTAGAATGGCAGCAAGGCGAGGAGCCCCACGTCATCTGTATAGTGACAATGGGACAAATTTTGTGGGTGCTAGCAGAATACTCAAGCAGGAATACTTAGATTTGCAGACCATGTTAGACGATGAGTTCTTTACAGCTATCACAGAAATGGATATTGAATGGCATTTCAATGCACCATCATGGCCGAGCGCAGGGGGCCTCTGGGAGGCCGCCGTCAAAAGTTTAAAACATCACATGAAAAGGGTTATTGGGGAACAAAAACTGACATTTGAGGAGTATTCGACATTGTTGGCTCAAGTCGAAGCTTGCTTAAATGCACGACCATTATGTGCTCTAACGGAAGTTTCTGAAGATTTAGATTATTTAACCCCTTCTTATTTTCTAGCTAGTGGACCCACGTTAACTATCATAGAGACTGAGAAAGATCAGCGAACAAGATGGCAATTAACACAAAAAATATTTGAAGATATTTGGCGAAGATGGCAAAATGAATATTTGGGTCAATTCTCGGCTCGCAGCAAATGGTGCGAAACCAAAGACAATGTCAAGATTGATGATATTGTAATAATACATTATGCAAACTTACCATCAGGGAAATGGGCCTTAGGGCGGATTGTAACGCTACACCCTGGAAAAGATGGATATGTGCGTGTCGTTACTCTCAAAACCAAGAACGGTTTAGTAAAGCGGCCCATAAACAAAATATCTCCTACCAACTAGTATAGACGACAAACCTTCAAAAGGTAGTAACAAATCGAAGTTAATCATTAGTAGTGCTACATTGACGGAAAATCAGCCTCAAAGAACTAACACTTGTAATCGGAAAAGGTTTTTTTCAATCAATATTATTATGGTTTATTTTAATAACACCTGCTTTCGCTACACATCAGATATCAAGGCTCAATAATAGTAAGGGTTTTTATTTTGACAAAATTGGAAACATGCGCTTGGAACAAGATCAGTGGAAATTAATAATTTATTATGATATGACTCCGTATTGGCAAGGCACAGATTTATTAAGTAAATATATAAAACACCTTGACGGTTTATGTTACAATCAAAACAATATAATGATAGCGCAATGTGACGTGATTCTTCTTCAATTACATCACGGGCTCACCGAGCTCGAGCACTACAATGGAATTCTGCTCGGACAGCAACTCACACGGCGCTCCGCGCGCACGCGACTACGCCGAGGTCTTATCAATGGGGTTGGCGCTATTGCTAATTCACTATTCGGCGTACTCGAACAAAACTTCGCAGAATCGTATGAGAGAGATATACTAACAATCAGGGACAATCAGAAACATTTAGCACTGTTGTGGAGAAACCAAACATCAATCGTAGAATCAGAATTTAATTTAATTAAAAGAGTGGAAGTTTCAATAGATAAGCAGCACAAAAGTTTTAATCAGCATCTCAACGCTTTGGAAGTCGAAATCAATGAACAAAATGCACTTGCACTTCAAAAAGGAATGAAGGCCAATTTACCTTGTCAGCAGTTATTGCAAAATGTGTATTATCAACACTAAAAACTATTCAGCAGACGTTAGTCACTTCTATTACTGACATCTACCTCGGAAATTTCAATTTCCACCTCCTTACCCCTGATCAATTAAGGAGTGAATTAAATATCATAACTGGGCTGTTATCAAAAGATCTTACTCTGCCCTTGAATCATATTCAGTCCGATCTAACTAAGATGTATCACTTATTGATGGTTCCGAAGGTGTTCTGGCGGATCGAGTGTCTTATCATGACGTGCACCATTACGTTGCTATTTACGTAGTGGGTCTCGGCAGCGTCATAACTATGGCAGTGGTTATCTTTCGACGCCGCTGGCCCCGCCGGCCAGGGCGGGCGAGGGAAGAGCCCCAGCCCCATGGAGCACAGGCTAGCATCCCCCGCTGGCCTCCTTCAAGAAACTGTTGAGTGTGTTAGTGATAGTGTGGTTCAGTGCGCGAATCAGTGTCGTAAAGTAAATATTGCAATGAGCAATTTAAACGTGAATGAAAGTTTAGTTAAAAGAGTGAGTGTTAAACCGAGTTTATCCGCTCCGCGCGTTGTTGACTGTGCTTCGCACCTATTTTTCATAGAGAATTTAGTTCACTATAATTAATTCTAGGGAACATTGTTTTATCAATGATGTCGATTCTGGCATGATTCTCTAAAGCTAAACTTAAATTTGACAACAGTGCATCCTTGTCATTCTCTATACAGAATGAAAAGGAGAGACTGATGTTAAATTTAGTTTTAAGTTTAGAGAATCACTCTAGAATCGACACCAATTTCTTATTATTTTTAAGAAAATATTGTTTTATCACCTTATAATCAATCGCGTCACTCACTTACATCAAACCACTATCATCTCTCTCCCTATCTTTGGCCCGGGAGCATGTACGAGCAAGCGCGTACATTTTGCCCCGTCGGCATTTTACGCCACATGCATTTATTTAGGTTAATTATGAATCAGTTCGTCATCGGTCATTATCCACGCGTTCTCACAGTCATATCATTTTAGTTTCGTAATTATCAGTTTGTTATCAGTAATATATCATTTAAACATATCAAGACTTTCTCTTCTCTCTCTATATCATAAAAGGTGTACAAAACCCGTACAGAAAGTTTTAATAATTTTTCAACAATAAATAATATTACTAACGATAACATATAAATAAAACATTTCGATCAATGCCAACTTAAAGAAAAAAGACTTGTTAATTTTCTGTCTCTGAGTTGGTACGATTGCACGCATCACACGAAAGCATTACTTTTGAGAGTGCTCAATTGTGCGAAGCGTTGCTCTAGTTGGAACACTCAACGTTAAGCATTATGCCGCATCATGCGCTATAATGCTGTAATTGGAAAGCTACCACGAAAACTACTTTTGAGAGTGCTCGATTGTGCGATGTTTTGCTGTTCGTTCTAGTTGAAACATTCAACGTTCTATGCATTATGCCGCATGTTGCAGTGTAGTGCCAAAGAGTAGTATTTATTTACGGTAGTTTTCCAATTACAGCACTAGAGCGCATTATGCTGCATAATGCTTAACGTTGAATGTTTCAACTACAGCAATGCTTCGCACAATCGAGCACTCTCAAAAGTAATGCTTTCGTGTGATGCGTGCAATCGTACCATGTTTTAATTATATGTTATCGTTAGTAATATTATTTATTGTTGAAAAATTATCAAAGCTTTCGTTGCATTATAGTTTTTATTTAAATAATCTAAGTTAATTCAAACTGTGTTAAAAAAATAAATACAAGAATGGATGAAGGTACAAACATTGACCTTTTTTTTTCAACACTGAACGTAGCGCACTCTGCTGGTGCATTTGAAAACTAGTTCACGTTCCAATTAAGCATCAGCATAATTCGGCATTGTGCGCCACTGAGTCGCATTATGCTCTGTAATTGGAAAACTACCTATATTATGTATAGTGCTATCATCTTAATAAAGGCAGAAATACACTTGTCTATCGTGTTGTGTTGTGACGCCATCGGTTTCATTGATTTAGAACTCATCTTCTCATTCTAACCATACTAAATGTATGAAATATAAAGCTTTCTGATGCGCACACACAATGCAACAGATAATGTAGTTGTGCAGTTTTTTTTGGCGGGATTTCATCAAGTGCGGTTGGCATCTTATTTTAATTATTCTTAAGTTCGGTTGAAGTGGATATTGTGAAATTAAATTGGTGTGATTTTGTGTTACAACCGACTGCGCAACTGAAGAATTAGTGGAATCTTTAAAATATACGCTATTCCGGTCAAGTGGACGTGAGAACTTTATTGTAGTGTTGACTACCTTACAGAAGCTTAACGGAAAAGCTAATTCGATGCATTTCGCGCCAAACACTCCAAGAAACATTAGAATAAGTCATACTGACATTCTAATGTAAAATACGAAGATTAATAAAACTAAAGATTTGGCTGTATGAGCATTGTTTCCTTTGCCTTCCCCTTAAAAGGGAGAATCTTAAAAAAATGTAGTTGTTCATTAGTCAATGCTGTCAATGCATATGCTTATCCTTACTTTTTAATGACTTATCATCACCCCAATATAGCTACACTTCTACATACTAATGACCTATCTGTGTATACATGTATTATATCTTTCCTTTTGCTCAATAACACTGGTTAACAATTTTTAAGGTTTTGTTAATCCATGAAATGAGTTGTGCTAATTGCGAAAGAATACCTCTAAACATACATTTTCATGTAAGTTTTAAGGTCGAGTTAGTTCGCATTTTTTGTGGAATCAAATAAAAATCTTTTGACTTAAGATAACATTTTATTCATAAATCACGTATTATAAAATTTAAAAATGAGTAAATATATTGCTTTTCCGTTTATAAATAATATCTACAGCCTCTCTCTTCAATGTCCAGCAGTAGTCTGCTAACATAGCAGGACTCCATTTGCCCTGGTATCGCTGTTCCATGCCTGAAATATCCTGGTGAAAGTGTCCGTGATGCTAGCGTACCCATGATCAATATACGGTTTTTCGTTATGCCATTAAATACTGCGTAAATAGTGCCAAATTAGTGTAAAAATAAAAAAAATAGTGCCTCTTTAATTTAAGAAATAAAGACCATTTTTACTGTGTACGCTACCATGACGTCAAGCTAGCGTACCCATGGCCGACCCCAAGAACGGCATATATTTAAGCAACAAAATTGACACACAAAAATAGTTCGCAAATAGTGCCCTGGCTTTACAAAATTTCATAATCAATACTCTTAAAGGACAAAAGATATTGAACTAAACATTCTTAGCTGGCGTCAACCTGGCGTACCCATAATAATTCTCATAGAAAATTAACTTTTCTTGTTATCAATTCTATATGTATAAATAGTGTGTCAAATAGTGCCTCTAACAGTAAAAGTATTTTATGTTAATTCGCAGTAAAACAATATAAAAAAAGCAAATAAATTATTTTTATATATCGCACTAATATTACAACAGTGTTGTAACTCAAAATTGATTGTTTTTCAGAATCAAGGAAAAACTGATTATTCACTTTTTATTATAGATTATAAAAAAATTCATTCTTTATGTGTTTTATTACAGAATTTAAAGAAATTATATATATACCAATAATTTTAAAAATTACGGGGGCTAAAGTTATTCACATTTTTTGAGTTGATACGGTATAATATCGAACAAACTGTTCAAAATGAAATATTATTTTTAGTTGTGTAGTTATTTTAGAAATATTTTGGGTTACTACTATTTGAATATACCTTTTTTGGTGTAGTTTAAATATACATTTTAGAGTTACAACAATTCTAAGAATTGTTTTTGGTATTATATTTACGTATAACTTGAACATTTTCTCCGAGTTAGGGTATTAGTAAATAAAAACAAATAAAGTTTTATAAGAAACAATTATAATTTCGCAATAAACTGAATTAGAAGAAAACATACAATGTTTGAAATAATACAAAATAGTGAAATATTTTGTATAAGTGATTACAAAATAAAGTTTCTTAAACAAAACAGTTCCTATATACATACAAGTATAAAAATAAATATCTATTTATTTTTAAACTTAGTACGTGCTTACGAAACATAAAAAACAGTCTTTTCCGACACATAATGATTATCACTAATTATTCTTATAAAGTAGTTGAAGTATTAAATGTAAACTTAATCAAATAATCAACAGAATAAAAATCCCAAAATAAAACCAAACAAAAATAAAACAGTCTTTCTAGATACTAACAATATTTTTTAAGTCCTTACAAAATAAAAAAATACAGTCTTTTCCGATACAAATTACTATAACTAGTTTTTATTTAACAGTAGTTGAAACATTAAGTACTCAAATAAATAATCAACAGAATAAAGATTGTACACTATGTAATCACGGAGGCATGAACTAAACAAAAGAAATACTTGTAAGTGCTGCGTATTTCTAAATCAGTCAATATTTTTTTTTTGAATAAGGTATGTATATGAATCATCATAAATAAATAAATTACGATTTTTAATCAACCAAGTCGCTATAATAAGTTTCACGATAAATTCTGGGAATTATATTTTTGTCCAGTAATTCTTTTATATCCCTTTTCTTATTTTGACTTAAAGGTATTTTGCTTAAGTATGCTGGTGATAAACCGTTAGCAAATAATAAAGTTTGGCTTTCTGTTCGTCGCAAATTACGAACGAAAACTTTTTGGTAATCTGGATCTTCATAAGAATTTTTGTAGAAAAAAGTCATAGGGTGTTCTTTTTCAATTCGAAACACCTTAACGTCATGCCATTTTACTTGGCTTCTATGCTCATTAATATTAAAGTTATTACCCCACTCTTCTTGCAGTACTTTCAGATCATAAAATTTATCATAAGACATTAGATTCACCCTATACGGTTCTCCTGTCTTTTTAGCGGCCTGAATTAATGTGGTATATTGTTGAGGGATATAGACTGGTCCAGATTTAACAAAGCGCCTTACTTGCTTTTCTATTACGCTATGAACATTGTCTCCCTCGTTTTGGGAGTGACCACGAATTAAATATTTGTGGGTTATACTTTTAACTTTCATTTTTTGTGTTGCGTAAGCATAAGCTGTAAGAAGGTACTTATTTTTTTGCTGTCCACAGCAATTATCTGAATAAAAAATAAAATCAAATTCTTTGCCAGAATTAGCCTGAGTAATTTTTTCTATATAATTTAGTATACAACTACCGATTTCATTAGCACCTCGTTTTCCCTCCGTCTCGTCCCAGAAAAAACATTCAACATTTTTAGCATATAAGTCGCTCACAGTAAAATTAAACCAGTTAATTCTACTTTTATAAAAAAATACTGAAATTTGGCCCTTTGGTATTGGCATCACAGCCTGTAAGTCATACACAGCGATAACTAAATTATCGATTTTTGTGTTTTTATCTTTTTCTTTCTCTTTTCTGGCTAAGGCTTTTTCTTTCAGATGTTTTTCATATGCCTCGACAATACTATGTTTCTCTTCCTCATTCGCATTTTTAAAACTTTCACAAAGATCACATTGATCTTTTTTTGGTATGTGAAAGGAAATATTAAAATCTTTATTAAAAATGCGGTTAAAAGTAGACGCTGAAGCAAACGAGCAGTTTTCTTTTATACAATTTTCTTTGTAGTCTCGGTATACGTCCGCTAAAGATTTATCACTCTGAATGTACTCTCGTGACGTCTGGGCCCTCAGGTAATGTGATTCAATACGTGGTATAGCATTTATGAAATTTTTGACGCCTGCATAGACCTCTGGTTCAACAGTAGGTTGTTTACCATGTTTCCCTCGTAATTCTTCTAGTATAAAACCAGACTCTGTTTTTTTTGATAAAGCTGTAGAAATTGGTCGGTCGTTTATTGCAAGAGTATTTTTAAAAAATGTTTTACACACTCTAATGCGATTGTTGTCAAGTAGAAAATGAAACGCAGTATTTAGTTTACGAAAATTTTGAGTCGATGAGTATCTATATTTAGGTTTAATATTTGTTGTTTGCCTAATTATAAATTCCCTCTGTTTTTGCAAGTCTCCCAAACTCCAGTACTGATTAAAAATATCCAGTCTTGATGCCTCACTTATTTTTGAAGGACACTTTAATCTGCATTTTTCGCCACACGTTGGACCCATGTTTCTTGCGGGTACTTGTTTTTTTTTTAGTCGATTCATATGCTTTTCCGGAATTGCGAAGTCGTTTGGCTATTTTGTTTTTCCATTTTTCTTCATTACGTACTCTTTTTTTTCCTTTTTTATTGTTCTGGTCTTCCACAGAATCATTTGAAACGGTAGCCAAAGCAGTGGATGAGGTACCGGGACTTAAATTGTCCACAGTTTCATTATCCGAGCTATTTGTCGAAGAATTATTGGAAGAAGTACTCGATGAAGAGCTACTTGATGAAGAAGAACTACTAGACGAATATTTCGTAGTACCACGTAGTAAAGGGGGGGCTTTACTTGTTGAACCAGGGGTAAAATGCGGATCATGGTCGGAATCATCAAAATCACTCTGATCTGAGTGTATAGGTGAAATGTAATAATTCCTTTGATCACAGTTAGTCCCCGATTCAACATTATTGACCGTACTGTTTGCGTGTATTTCCTGAAGTACTAAATTCATTTTTTCTGTCGCATCATCGCCTTCTTCTCTCTGGGACCATTCACTCACCGATTTTGACAACAATGAAGGTGATAAATTTGAGGGATGTGCACATTCATCAAGAGGTTCGTCATTTTCTTTGTCCTGGTTTTCGCCGCTCGTTTTTATTGCCATACCAACAAGTAATCGCCCACGATGCATAGTGATTCTGCAAATTAATCAAGTTCTTGTTAGCAAAATACATACAAATCACACGTGTCACATAGAGTGTAGTAACTCTAAATTAACGAGATAAAATATTTAGTAAATATTTTCCTAATTTAACAATAACATATTCCAATGCACCGTGATAAATACTATGATAAACAATTGGGCTTTTCTTTAAATACTAACAAATTAAACAATAAAAGGTGTTCAATCGTCATGCATCAACAATACTGTATCATGTCAAAAATGAATAACTAAACCAATAATAATGTCGTAAATAAAAATATTATTTGAAATATCGCTTGTATTAATCAGTAAGAGTGTATTAACTCTAAATACACCCATTTCATATTAAAGTTTAAATCAGCAAAAACGTAATAATTCAAAATAATACTTTAAATTCTTCATACCTGAATCAGCAATACTGCTACAACTCAAAATATTGCGCAAAGCGGCACGTCCTTCCTCGATCACTGTTGGTCGCAACTAAAGAAGAAGCAATATTAAGCGGGGGGGTATGACAGTTGGTCAGTCATCTATACTAACTTATAACGCCATCTCTTATTTGTTTTTTGCATTATTTCAACGACGGTTTTATTGCCTTGTGCGGAATCGCATCCAGCGTTTGAATATGGTGTTATCTCAAATTCGACATTTTTTGAGTTACGACACTGTTGTAATATTAGTGCGATATGAAGTACAGTCATGTACAGAAGTGATAATATTTTCGTAGTATAGTAGGTAAGTAAGGTACTTAATAGGTAGGTGGGTAGGTAGGTTGAAATTCTTATATGAATTTATGATTGGTGAATTCGAATTGAAATATAATATCTTTTTATAAAAAGTACCTATTTATTTTAGTAAAAATACATATATAGATAATCTCTTAGTGCATAAATTAATTTTGTGTGTAACTGTACTACAATACATTTGTTCCTAGAATTTAACACCTTCTTTATGTATTGTTGTGATGCGGATTCACATAAAATACTTTTACTGTTAGAGGCACTATTTGACACACTATTTATACATATAGAATTGATAACGAGAAAAGTTCATTTTCTATGAGAACTATTATGGGTACGCCAGGTTGACGCCAGCTAAGAATGTTTAGTTCAATATCTTTGGTCCTTTAAGAGTATTGATTATGAAATTTTGTAAAGCCAGGGCACTATATGCGAACTATTTTTGTGTGTCAATTTCGTTGCTTAAATATATGCCGTTCTTGGGGTCGGCCATGGGTACGCTAGCTTGACGTCATGGTAGCGTACACAGTAAAAATGGTATTTATTTCTTAAATTAAAGAGGCACTATTTTTATTATTTTTACACTAATTTGGCACTATTTACGCACTATTTAATGGCATAACGAAAACCCGTATATTGATCGTGGGTACGCTAGCATCACGGACACCTGGTGAAAACGTTCACCATGTTCGTCGCTAACATCTCCCATATTTTCAGGACAAAAATCCAAATGTGAGTCGAGAATATGTATTTTGAGGGACATTTTGCAACCGAGAGCGTACAATGCTTGGATCATATTCTTAACCAGGTTTTCATAGTCTTCAGATTTTTTTTTACCCAAGAAATTTTGAAAAACTTTTATCATGGATGTCCAGGCCTGTTTTTCCTTGCTATTCAATGTGCTTTCAAAAGTTTTGTCATTCATTAATTCTTTTATTTGAGGTCCTATGAAAATTCCTTCTTTTAACTTGGCATCTGTCATTTTTGTAAACTTTTTTTTAAATATTGAAAAGCTTGACCTTCGCGATTCAGTGCTTTTACGCAGTTTTTCATCAATCCTAATTTTATATGCAGAGGTGGTATAATAATATTTTCTTTTTGCTAGTGGATAAAAAACATTTTCAGTTCCTGGTGTAAAAGCTTTTCGTAACGGTCACACTTTTTTTATGTAATGGTTTTTCCTGTCGCGACTGTCCCAAAGACACAAGAAACAGCAATACTTTGTGCAACCCTGTTGTATGCCTAAAATGATTGCAATCACTTTAAAATCTGCACATATTTTCCAAGAATATCTTTCATATATTATTATTTGTATTAGATGTTTAATATTTTCATAGGTTTCCTTAAAAGATACAGCATAACCGACAGGAATAAAAGGATACGTGTTACCGTTGTGCAATAATACAGCTTTTAAACTGGTTTTAGACGAGTCTATGAATAATCTCCAAGCATTTGGTTCATGCTCCATTCCGAAAGCTTCGAACAGCGCATCAATATCGTTGCAGTAAACAAGATGATTCTTATCGTCTATACTAAAAAAAGCTACAAAATCATCGTGTCGGTTCCGAAAAACAGTAATTTTTGTTCCCTTCGCCAAGAGATTCCATTGCTGGAGACGCGAACCAAGAAGTTCAGCTTGTGATTTTGATAAACTTAGGTCTCGTACTAGATCATTTAATTCTGGTTGAGTAATTAGATGGGGTTGCAGTACCTGGCTGTGAGGACTAAAATCAGGATCCGTAAGATCGTCTTCTTCAGTGCTAAGCTGGTCAATTTCTTCAGAAGCATTGATTGGTGGCGCTGGAACGGGGTGATCTTCATCATGCGGGCGAGGTGTTTGAGCAGATGGCGTTTCAATATAACTATGTTTTCTTTTTTTGCGCGTATTAAGCCCTTCTGTCTTATTTATGCAAAAATAACAATCTCCAGTGTGATCCTTTTGTTCTTTCCACAGCATCGGTGTTGCGAAAGGCAAACATGATTGGCGGCCGGATAGCCAATCTCGCAAGTATTTACCACAACTCGAGCATATTACATGCGGAACCCAGGGCTTGTCTTGATTTTTCACTGGTATTCCGAAATAAAGTTCGTAAGCACGACAGATTCTGGGACTGAAGTTTTCGCTCGTATTTTTTGTAGTGAATTTACCACACACGTAACAAAAATTGTTAGGATTGCTTTCACAGGAACGAGGCATATCAAAAATATAAATTCACAAAGTTTTAGTTCAAACTTCACAACAAAAACTAAAAACAAAATTTGTTTGATACACTTAAGACTGTATGTTACAGTGCTATTACTACGTCATACACTAATTGTATTTTCACGGTGTTTGATAGCGAATGCCAGCGCAATCTTAACGTTCTTTAAATCTAGTAAAGTAAAACCGTGCTATAATAACGAACAAGTCGAAACTTGCGAGAGTGCGGCGAACGCAATACAAGATTAAACTTGCATAGCTCGATAACTCGAGCTAAGACACTTGTAATATTATATTTGATGATTAGTATTTACCAAGTACTGCCTATTTTTGTATTTCATCATTCATGGGCAAAACCATTGTTAACCAGTGTAATATAAAACTTTAAATGTAAATATGTATATTTTCTACAATCCTGATCCTTTCCAAATTTCGTAATATTTTCCTTTTTTCCTATACTGTTTCCTCAATTTTTACTTGACATTAGCTGAACGCACAAACCGTGCATGCCATAAAAAAAGAAAAAGAAGAAGAAGAATGCTTAAGCATTATGCATAGTGTCAATGTCAGTTCGGCTTAGGGTTTAGTGTGTCGGTCGATTAGTTGTTTGATTTGATAAACTTGGCTAAACCAAGTTTCCTAGTCAAAACATAATTTCCTTTCAAATATGAGTAATATGTTTAAACTGAAGCTCACTGCATTAGGTCATCCTAACCCTGAAAATTTTAATTGTGAAGGTAGGCTAATAAGCTTCCTAGTTACTCAAGTGTGTTTGTTTGAAGTTGATTTTTATTATTTGTTACAGATGAAAAAGAATATAGAAGTGTTGTTTTGTGGTTAGAAGATCAGAAAATCCGGCATTATAAAATCGAAGAACGGGAAGGCCTACGTAACATAGATGCCGATAGTTGGGCTGGAGCATATGAAAATTATCAACGCGATTTAGTTAGTCCAGCTGTGGATGGGAATCTCAATGAACAATTGAACTGGATATTGTCATATGCTATCAGATTAGAATACGCTGATAATGGTATGTTGCTTGTATAAAAATGGTTCACACCAAGATTTGGTTTTATTAAAATCTTCAGGCTGGAAATGCCACTAGTACTAATAAGCTTTGTAATTAAAAAGCTCTTAATGATTTCAGTTGACAAATATAAAAATGCAAAGATTGAAGAACAAAAAAAAGCTGCTCCAAATGTTGTTTCTTCAAATCCCCTAGATAATCTTGACTGTAAGTATTTTATTTAAACCTACTGTTATTATGAAAAGTATGATTTTTTTTTTATTTAATTTTTTTTCAGTTTTATGCGCTTCTTTCAAAACTGGTGTTGAGAGAGTTTCAACAATTGCTGGAGTTGGTCCACATACCGATCCAAAAATTCGACTTGCAGCAATTGCAAAGATTCTTAAGACAGCTCCACATCCTGACCCACCAAAAAGTGAATCCAATCCCATCCATCAACCATCAGATGTCTTAAAATTGTTGTTTGTTCAAGACCTACGAAACTTGCAAACAAAAATCAATGAAGCTCTTGTGGCAGTTCAAACTGTTACTGCTGATCCCCGTACTGACACTAAACTTGGCAAAGTCGGTAGATAAGTGTTTCTTGTGTGAAGTTTCATAGTATTACATAATTTTAAAGTATACAGAAAAAGCTTTTTATTTTAACCACAGACCTCATATAATGAATTCCGAATCAGAATTTGGCTCAAGATGTGTATTCAGCAAATTTTCTCACCTTCTCACAAAATTAGTTTTAATTGTGTTTTGCTAGCATCCCAAAAATACAAGACAAGTGTAGCGAAAATGATTTGAAGAAAGCGTTATGAGGGACTTCCCCCTCACTCACTCAGCCAACCCATAGGGCTGATACATGATGGGAATCCCCCCAGACTGCGAGCCGTACAATGCAGGCGCGGGTTACCCTACACAAGCCCACTGGCCCCGACTCAGGGTTGAAGACTGCGGACGTATCCTCGCATCCTTCGTCCCCTGAGCGTCTTGTTCGCGGGCCCGCTCCGCTTCCTTCTTTTGCGACAACACCTCTTCGCAAAAGGAGTGTTTGAAATAGCCTACCACCCCAGCTCCTTAGATCTCTAGACCTTTGTTGTTCCTCCAGGTCTCGAGAACTATTAACGGGTCTTCTAGTATCGTCTGCGAAGTATCCAGATTTGTAGTCCCTTATGTGGCAACGCCTCCGCAATGTCGCAATGCATGGTCGCTCGACTTCTCTAGGCAGGCTCTGCACGGATGACTATCAGAAATGTCTGCATTTAGAATCCATAAAAATGCACCCATGATCGGTGATGATATTTACTCAGACATACGCCAACAAATAACGAAACTATAAAACGTATCTCTATGTGTACGTGCACATATTAGTCTATTCCACATCATCTTAGTAGTTAGGATGTTTATTCCACGATATTAAATACCCTAGATACACCACGTGCGCTCAAAATGTGTCCCACTGAAGAAGTTCTTGAACACGACTCAAGCACTTCTTGGTTCACAGTCCCGCTCGGACTGTTGGAAAGTCAAGATATCGCAGAGCTCCGTGAAAAAAAATGGGAAATAAATACTTATATTAAGTAAAGTGTCCTTTTTTCGACAGGTATCAAATCAATGTTTGTTAATTTAACGCATTTGAAGTAAATTTTGTTCTAATACTGACTATAAACTGATTTAATAGAAAATATTGGTGATATTCAAATGCATGCATATAGCCGTCTCTTTTCCTCGCGTTCTGTACCTGCTATATTGGTAACAGCGCATTCAGAATTGTGCGTAGATTCAAAGAAATAAGGTCTATATTCTTCCGCGAATAGCTTATAAGTCGTAAAATTTTAGGAACTTGCATCAACGATACCTACCCTAGTAGATACACCACGTGCACCCAAAACGTGTCCCAATCAAGAAGAGCTTGAACACCACTCAAGCACTTCTTGGTTCACAGTCATGCGCGAATCGTTGAAAAGTAAAGATGCCACAGAGCTCCGTGAAAAATACGAAAACAATACTTTTAGTACGTTAAGTGTCGTTTTTACGACAGGTATTTAATCAATGATTGTTAATTAAACGCATTTGAAGCAAAGTGTGTTCTAATATTTAGAACCTATAAACTGATTTAATAGAAAATATTTGTGATATTGAAAAGCATTGGTCGGTAATTTAGTCGTTTTTTTTCCTCGCGGCCCATAACCACTATTTTGCTAACAGCGCATTCAGAACTGCGCGTAGAGTCAAAGAAACAATGTTTTATTCTTCCGCACATAGCAAAAAGTCGTAAAATCTATCAAGCTTGCATTTCGAACTGTCGTATTTCTTTGACGCATGCGTTTTAATTAAGACCTTAAGCAGTAATATCGTTGTTTGTTACTCAATTAGACAAAACCGGCTGAACAGATTTGAATGAGACAGGATATTTTTATTCTGAAAAATGAGGTGCTACGAACGACACTCACTCTCATAACATGGAGTCTGGAGACTTCGGTCCGCCGAGTGCGTGCAAAGTAACTATTGCAGTAGTATATTGGCTGGTGCTTTGTAGTAAAGGCCTAGCTCATTGATTTCGCAGTCTTAGGTCTTAAAAAATTATAGAAAGATTCTCAGTGATTAATCTAGTCTTGCGACACACACATAGCGAACTCCCTTTCTAACTGTACTCAAGTAAAGATCAACACTTAGTTGCCATTTTGTAATACGGGCCTTAGAGCTTGAATAAAATTGTGGGAAGAATCTCGCATACCCTAATCGCACTTCTGCTGGTGGCCGGAAGTCATCATACCTTTTCCCGACATGAAAAAAATAAATCAACCCCCATGGTGATTCTTAAAAAATTAATAGTTAACAAAAAACTAGAAAAACACGCTTTTATAAATGCACTTAAAAACGAAAAAGAAATTATGGATCGTTCAAGTTGTCTCTATTTATGGGCTGAAGTGTCAATAATGTGCTTTTAATTATAATACTTGAATGTAAAAGCGTGGGGCGCTGGAACAGGAAAGACTTTTTGTATAACTTGCAGAGAAATCAAGTTAAGCGATGTTACGGGAAGCAGATTACACAGATTGGCGCTCCATAAATGGAATTGCAGCACGACTAGTATTCCATTAAATATTCTATTCATTTTAATGATGAATATTGCATTTTTTTTAATTACAAGAAAAGTGCGTGTCGTGCGTCCGATGTGGGTAGCGGCGAAATTACTGACACACGTCGCGTCCCACACCAACAACGTCCCTTCTCCCACAGTACTAATGTAAGACCATCAGGCCGTTTTCCGTCTTTGCTGAGACCTGGTAGTTCGAGGACGGAAGGAACGCAGGCCGACCTAAGACCTCTCAACACTATGTCGTTTAGAGCATGGTGACGTGGGTGTCTGTCTGCCTGTACATCGACGGCAGCTCAATGCGTGATGGCCGTCGGCCCCCACCATGGTACCGCAGATGCATACACGTGGTTGACATACATCGCAGCCCAAGCGGAGGGCGACTGTCACCCGCAAGGAGTCACCGCCAAGTAAAGTGCCCATATGAGGCGAAGGTAACGCTTGCAGCCACGCCCCGGATTCAGGCTGCGACACCGCCAAAATCCTCGCCAAATCGACTCCCGTGGCACTTACCAGTAAGCAGTTCAAGCTTCGCTTTACAATTGACGTCATCCCATAAGCGCGGGAACTTGGGGTTCCTAGGCACGGCCGCGCCCGGGACGAGAGCCAACCAGGCTGCCAAATCATCGGCCGCAAAGGGTACGGTCACCCTGACGCCATTCATAGACAGAATATTATAGCGACAAGGTCCGAAACCCCATGGGCCGACGCGAAGAACGCCGGCCGGCAGACTCACGTCTCTAACAGAACGCACCCGAATACCCCAGTATCGGATTGGCAAAGATGCCTGTTTCCAGTGGTTGCCACTCAGGGAGACATTTAAAATTGTCTGAAGCGCATTTTTTATGACAGCGTCAAAAGAAGCAATATCATCACCGAACATCCAAACTGGAGCCGTCCGGAGGAGGTATGTTATTTTTGGGATGGCAAAACATTTCGGCAAGAGGACTAGAGCAACGTGAGGAGCAATGGCCTCTAGACGCTCGCTGGCCAGCAAGAGAACATCCCTACGAGTTTTTATGGCCTCCGGAACTGCAGATGGAGAAACAGGAGCACCAAGCAAATTAAACGAATCTTAATTGAGCTCTTTGAGGCCCGGAAGCAAAGAAGTGAAAGATGGAGATGACACCGAACTACAGGAAAAAAACTCGCATTTTGTAAAATTTACCTCTAGACATACCTAACTCCCCCAGACGAGGTAATAAGAAAGCTAAGTTCCCAAATTCGATATGTTTACTACTAGGCAGTGCAGGATCCATCAGCCACCTTCCAGTCTATCCTCAAGTCCTTGTTATCAGGAGTAATGAAAAGAATATGTTAAGGCGAATCTAATGAGCCCAAACTCGATATGTTTACTAGTAGGCAGTCCAAAGTTCGATCAGCCACCTAAAAGCCCCATCATCAGACCAGCTCGATGATACCATAATATTGTATAATCATCTAATCTACATATAATTGCAAAATTTTATTATGTTAAGACGAATCTCATGAGCCAAAACTCAATTTGTTTACTAGTAGGCAGTCCAGCGTCCATCAGCCACCTTCCAGTCCATTGTCAAGTCTTCAGTAGAAATGAACAGAATATGTTAAGGTGAATCTAGTTACCCCTAACTCGATATGTTTACTAATAGGCAGTCCAAGGTTCCATCAGCTACCTTACAGTTCCATCATCAGACCAGCTCGATGGTACTATAATATTGTATTGTCATCTAATCTACATAATTATAATTGCCAAGTTTCATGATGATACAAGAATCAGAAGTGCGTGTAATTCAGATTCTCATAAAAGAGGGATAAAAGCATGTTAAAAACGAACTATTTATAATACTACTTGTAAAAAAAAATAAAACAAATACATAGGTAATCCCTTTTTTATACTAAATTTTTACATTTATTACACCTTAAACCTGTAAACTCAGGAAATATCACTATCACTTTTGAATTCAACAGACCTCTAGTCAATTAGATATATAATGTAATAGCTTATTTGTATAAAGTCAATGAAATAGGTTAACATTGATGGTATTAACATAGTCTTGTAATAGCTATTTTAAATTTAGGTATTCAGAAACCAGTGATTCACTTAAACCGAGTGGTATGAAGCCATGACCTTCACAGAGACTTCTATTTTAAGATTAACTTTATTCTGGAAATACAAATTATTATTATTCAATCAAGGTGCTGTCACACAATTTGTGCTATTATGGGTAAGGTCACGCCGCATAGGGTTGCCAAACATATGAGAACTCGTAACATTTGAGATTAATGTATACATGAGATGAGGTAAATCATATCAAGAGCAGATCAGATCATGTGACAGCGCCTTAAGACAATTTCGTAACAACCATTAAAGAATAATAAAAGTAACTATCATTTAATAACATGATAATTTTATTGTTACAAATCCACACAGTATTTTAGAATAATGACTTAAATTACTTTTCAAAAGCTTTTTGTATGCATTTATTAGAATTCTACATAATATTGGCATTAAACTTTTAACTTCATGCAAGCTCCATACCTGAATAGGAACAAATTTCAAGAATTATGGAAAATTCTAATAAACACAGTAGTCATTTGATGAAGTATTTTATTAAATGGGTATAAAAGTTTATGCAGGGATATCTAAAAATGGAAATAACATTACTTTATAGGATTGAAAGTTACTTAAAATATTCAACAAAATCAAAGTCTAAACATGAAATGCATTACAATTTAAGGCATTCATTGCATGCCTCCTCCTTTTTCTAGCATTTGTGCAAATCGATTTGTTATTAGCAGGGAAACATCAATAAATCTTTCAACACAATTAGTAATGCAAGTTTCAGTACGGGAGTCTAACTTTGCGCCAGGTTTATCCACACATTTGTCCCAACAGAAGTCATTGAATTCATGAATCTGTAAGGAAACAAGAAATGAGAAAGAGTATTAACAACAGTCTTTTAATGTCCCTACTGCCGGGGCATAGGCATTCTGTATGGATGAAGATTGGGCTATGGACCCATCACGCGGGCCGAATGTGGATTGGTGCAGCCGGGACCAACAACTTAACGGGCCTTCCGAAGCACGGAGGAGCTGGAGATATTGTTTTTTGTCACCCATCCACAGTATTATAACTTTCATAAATCTTATTTATCAGAATTAGTGGAGACAGAATAAAACCACCATTTTCTTTAAAAAGTACACAGTTCCTAATAACCTACCTGAGCATGAAACTGTGCTTTTTGTTTCTCAGCCAAAAGAAAATCTTGTAATTCGGAATCTGCTCCCTTTGTTGGGGAATAATCAGATAAATCACTCATGCTCACTACAATAGTAAAAACTAGTCAAGGTTTTTAGAATACTCTGTTTATAACATTGAAGTTATAGGTTTAAATAGCGTAGGTTCCATCCACTAATAAATATTTAAGAGGTTATAGTTTAGAGCTGTAGCAAACCGTATGTATTCGGTACTGAGTAACGGGTGCGCCATCTAGTACCGAGTAACGAAACGTTACACACAAATAAATTTCGTTACTCGCATTTTTCGTAGTATGACTGTCTATATGTTTTAGGGGTGTCGAAAGTTGAAAAAAATATAGATACATCGATATTTTAAAAAATATCAATATCGGCTTCGATATATCACGAAAAAAACATCGACATATCGGACCAATTTTCCCAAAATTATATTTAGGTCAGCCTAGCACATTAATAATAACAATACAAATTGTAATTAAAGAAAGAATTATCAAAGTACCCAATTGCCGATATACTACATGACAGTACGGTATCTCACGAAATATGGCACGCGGAATAATAATGACACGAAAATTATCTCCCTAAAAGTAGACCCGTTTTTCGAATGTAGAAAATGATTGCAGGGCCTCTCAGGTGTCATCTTTCGTAAACAAGGGTGCGGCCAGAGTGCACTCAGATTCAGATTCAGATTCTGAAAACAAGCGCGAGAAAAAAACAGTGTAGTCGAAGGGTACGGCCAGAGTGCACTCCTGATTCAGATTCAGATTCAGACTCAGAAAACAAAGCGCGAGAAAAAGCAGGCAACCTGCTTAGACTACACTGTTTATTTCTCGCGCTTGTTTTCAGAATCTGAATCTGAATCTGAGTGCACTCTGGCCGCACCCCAAGACTAGACAGTCACATACTTCCACAGAATATAATGGAATTCAGCGCAACCAATTCACCAGCGAAACAGATTTACAAATAATAGACAATGGTGTCGATTCTGACGTGATTCTCTAAATTTAACATTAGTCTCTTCTTTTTATTCTGTATAGAGAATGACAGGGATGCACTGTTGTCAAATTTTAGTTTAGCTTTAGAGAATCATGTCAGAATCGACATCAATACCTACTAAATACAGCACAGATCATAGATATGTTGAATATAATTAATCTGAGATCCAGTTCCGATTTTTCCAGATACGAATTTAGTTACATCGTGATATGCCGCTAATAATTAAAAAAATATCGTTTTTGATACGAATTTCGATATTGGTTATTTTGTATCGATGTATCGATATATCGTATCAAAATATATCGGCAAAAAATATCGATATATCGAACAAAAAATATCGATATATTTTCAACAAGCCTGCCTTATAATTGATGTGTGTATAGAAACATTTGCTGATCGTATGTTTTAAGCATGCGCGAGCATAATCGGAGAATTTAAAAACGTACGTTGGAGTTTTTGGCGGGATTTCATCGAGTGCGGTTAGCGTCTTATTTTAATTATTCGTAAATTCGTTCATAGTGGATATTGTGAAATAAAATTGGTGTGATTTTGTGTTACAACCGTCTGCGTAACTAAATAATTAGTGGAATCGTTAAAATATACGCAATTCCGGTCAAATGGACGTGAGAAATTTATTGTCGTGTTGACTACCTCACAGAAGCTTATCGAAAAAACCAACTTGATAGATTTCGTTTAAAATATTTTTATTTTATTTTATAATTTTATTTTGAGAACAAACGATTTTTGCTGTAGTTCTTTCTTTCGTTACGTTTAATTTCATTCTAATCAAAACTATTTTTATGTTGGTTTATCGTTAGAATGCTATTTAAGTATTATTATCAATACAATAATTTTCGACACCTATTTGTTGCTTTATCATTATAATTGATGAATAATGGATTGCGATGTTATTGTGATATAACATAAGCTCACGGTTAAAAATTTCAAAATAGTAAAACCGATTTTTTTATGAGAAGTAACGAGTAACGTAACGATACTATAGTAACGGGTACTAATTGTTAAAGTAACGAATACATACGGGTACGCTTTTTGACGTGACAACGTCTTAAATTAGGTTGCGGCTGGGAGTCACTTATGAAAAAGTGTAACGCTCGGTAACGTTACGATGAGTCTCTCGTGTTAAGTTTAAGTTTACATGTACAATGTTTTAGTAAACAAAATATATTTCTATAGTTAAAATTTGTGCAATTCTTATTTTCATTCAATTCCTTGTTCCTATTGTGCAATTTAATTATATTCATATCAATAAATATTCTACCGAGAAAAAGACGTTGTCACGTAAAATCTTCGCCCGTAAAACCGACTTTACAGGCAACCATTTTTGACGTGACAACGTCTTAAATTAGGTTGCGGCTGGGAGTCACTTATGAAAAAGTGTAACGCTCGGTAACGTTACGATGAGTCTCTCGTGTTAAGTTTAAGTTTACATGTACAATGTTTTAGTAAACAAAATATATTTCTATAGTTAAAATTTGTGCAATTCTTATTTTCATTCAATTCCTTGTTCCTATTGTGCAATTTAATTATATTCATATCAATAAATATTCTACCGAGAAAAAGACGTTGTCACGTAAAATCTTCGCCCGTAAAACCGACTTTACAGGCAACCATTTTTTTTCGTTACTTTTACACCTCTATTATAGTTATACTGTTTTTTTTTTAATTTATTATAGCTTTGGCTGCTAGGGCCATAAGCTAAAACTTAAGACTACAACTAAAACTATTGCATATTTCTTTTAAACAATAGATTAAAATGCTAAACACACAGAAAACAAGCAAGAGACGTCTACAAATATAAACGAACAAAATACTTAAAACCTATTTTAACAAAAAATAAAAGATAAAAATTCTCTTTTTACAAAGGGCCAAAAGTATTTACATAAAAGTTATGAATTACATTATATAAGTTATCTAATTTGAGTAAATCCTGTACAGTTTTTATACAATAAATCTGTGAGTAAGCATATAAAATGGAGTCGCTGAATATTAAATTTCTTACAATCTAAGAATAAATGATGGAGATCACCAAGGGCGTACCCAGGATTTCAGCTAGGAGGGGGCAGCTCATACAAGATGGTCGGTCGGGTATATTGAAACAAAAAATCATGAAAATTGACTTTTATTAATTAGTTTGATTATGACACAAAACAAAATATTAAATATTCATAATACACATATATTAATTTAAAAGTAATCTTCTCGGATTTGCCGCCGAAAACTTGTCTAAGACTGTCTTCTGAATAAACTCACTGTTTTCTTTTAAATAATTGCGATGTACGTGTTGGATATGTTAAATTAGTTTTATAGTCTGTGGGATCATAGCATAGCACTCTATGTCAAATGTCAAACTTTTTCTCACTCAAAAATGTTATCACGGTAGGATGTCTGATTATAATTAATAAGATAATAAACAGTATTCAGTGTAAATCATGTATTTCAATACTACAAAATCAACAGCAGAGCGTAGTTAGTAGTCAAAAGTATTTAGTAATTTGGTTGTTGTGTGACCATAATGACGGTACAAGAAAGGCTACATATTCTCACTGAGAAAACGAATTTTTCAAACTGGAAGTTCAGAGTAAAGTTAGTATTAGAAGAAAAAGGTTTACACGAAGTGTTGAATAAAGACATTGAAAAGACGGAAGAATTTGCAAAGAAAGATGCGAAAGCGAGAAATGTGGTAGTACAATGCCTATCAGACCAATACTTAAATATTGTAAAAAGTTGTAGTACAGCAGCAAGTATGATTACACAATTGGAATCAATCTTTGAAAGAAAAAGTATTTTCAACAAAATATTTCTAAAGAAAAGGTTATTGTCATTAAAGAAAAAACCTGATGAGGATATTCAAAAACATTTTTTACAGTTCAATGAGCTTATTACACAGTTAGAAGTGTCAGGAGGAAAGATGGAGGAAGCTGACAAAGTGTGCCATCTATTGCTTACATTAGGAGATGAGTATGACACTGTAGTTACGTCTTTGGAAACCATGAGCAATGAAAAGGAACTGACTATAGAATTCATAAAGTCTAGATTATTGGATGCTGAGATAAAGAGTAAGAGTAAACATCAAGAAGGTAAAAATGCGAGTACCTTTTTAGTGTGCTACAAATGTGGAAAGAAAGGCCACATAGCAAATGAATGCAAAAGTTTGCATTCATTTGCTATGTGGTTTGAATATTCCTCTTCCTCTTCCGAGAAGAGGAAGAGGAATATTCAGAGGAAACAGGTATAGTCGAGGCAATAGTAGCCGAAATTTACATCTAGCAAGCAACACAGAGGTAATTTCAGAAGACACACAAATGTTCTTAGCATTTTCAACAGAATGTGAAAATGATGGCCTGTGTTTCATAATAGATTCTGGTGCGACGCATCATTTTATACAAAGTAAGTATGAAAAATATATGACTGACATTATAGAAATACCACATATAAATAAATTGCAAATGGACAGACATTGATAGCAAATAAGATGGGAAAACTAAATGTATTATATAAAAATTAAAAGGTTATTATTGAGGGGCTAATAGTACATAATCTAAGTCACAATCTGCTATCTGTGAATAAATTAATGGAAAGGGGAATGTCTGTATTGTTTTATAGAGGAAAATTAAAGATATATAACAAAGGATACACATATGTTAAATATGAAAATGGAAAATTATATATGATGAAGTTTTGTTTAGACAGAAAAGAACATGGGTCGTATTAATAGGAAAGGTTTAAAAATAATGAATTTACCAACATCAGACAATAAAATATTAATAAATTATATTAACCAATTAGAAAGAGAGAAAGATATTAAAGTAAAAAGGATAAGATGTGATCAAGGAGGAGAATATACAGGACACAATTTAAAAAAATATTGTAATAAGAAAGGAATACAAATTGAATATACTGTACCATACAGCCCACAAATGAACGGAAAAAGTGAACGAATGAACAGGAGCATTTATGATAAAGCAAGAGCTATTTTAGATCAATCTAATTTACCAAGAGTATTATGGGGACAGGCGATATTAACTGCTACCTATATGATAAACAG